ACCTCAATAAACAGCCATAGCAGAAACTAGAAGGGCTCTCTTATAACCCAAAACCTTGTTTCCAGCCCATACAACAAGGTCTGGGTAGGCTGATCACTGTATTAGAGGAATTTATTCATTTATTCCAGGGGGCAGAGTTTGTTGCAGACTTATGTTTTAAAGTAGCTTTTTTTTCCTTTTCCCACTGACATTATTGTCTTAATAGGCCGCAGAAATATCCCTTTTTCAGCTTTCCACTTTACCAGCCCCAACAAACCAAAAGCTCAGCCTGTTCTTTTCCATGTTTTCTCTTTCTCTTGTTTAACACCCAGTGGTCTCATCAGAGAACAACAGTGACACTCACACAGTCTTAGAGCTTTTCTGACAAATGATTCACCAGACACCTGTGGAGATCATGCTAGCCCCCTGACCCCACTGGCTGTGGTGGTGTTGGTAACCAGGCATCCTCTGGCTGAGGATTCTCAAGGCTTTCTTCTCTTCAGACATTTCCAGCTGAAGAGTTCCCAATTTACAACAGAATTTCTTGTATCGATGTAATTGATTGTTAACATTGCATTGTAGTTATCACATTTCTGCTATTTGGGTCCTGAAGGTCATCCTTCTATGTGATGCCTCAGACTCTGTTCATTTTTACTGTTTATTAAAATTGCTGAATTTTAGCCCATTTTCATTTGCCTTGCTTGGGACCAAATCAACAACTAAGATTCTAATTACATACCACTGTAACCAACTCAGCCTGAGAAATCAGCAATGTCTATTTGTAAATTCATGCATATGTTTGTATGCCTAACCCTCTACTCCCATATTTTATGCATACTCAGAATAAGATGCCATCAAAAATGACAAAAGATTATTTAATGAGCCATTCAGCCATAATGCTTATCTAAATTAAACACTATGTAAAATAAATTAGTTTGCTAAAGAAAATGAAGCATATTTTACCTTTCACTAAAGATTGCATTTACTCCACAAATTAATCACATTTCTCTAGATTGATGAATAAAGTGAAATCCCTTCTCCTGTAAGCACCAAGGCTCTGTGTTGGAAGGTACACACAGATAGCTTCTACACCAGTTTATCTTTATTTGTGGAATGATTCGTCTCTTGATGACCAAAGGCATTTGTGACCACAGCACATATGTATACAGTTGTTTTTTTAGTGTACCTTCTACCATTTCTTTATTCCTTTGTTCTTTTTCCATCAAGTGTTTATGAAAAGTAAATGCAATCCTTGTGAAGGGTAAAATGAAGTGGCAGGTAGTGTGAAGCCTTCTGTGTTCTTGTTTGCAACATATCTGCATAAACAAGGAACGAGGACTTCTGAAAGGACACTGAACTTGAGGCCTCTTGTCAGCAAGGGTATTCATTGTAAAGAGGGCCAAGTGACTATTCTCACTTATCTTGGCTAATAGTTACCCCAAATCTTGAGAAATTCCTTGCCAGTGTTGTGGGGTGTTCAGCTGGGTTATTTTTCTTTTGTTTTTTCATAGGGCCCTATGGTTTGAGAGAGGATTTTCCTGATTTCCTGCATCTTGTATTGTCAAGATAATACGTAATCTGAGTAGACATGAAGATTTCTGTTGTTCAAATGTAAGGGTTTGAACTGCAATAAGTATTAGACTTGCTTTTACTTCTCTTTTGTGTCTTTAGAGATTGCTATTAAGAGGGGTCTGGTGCTTGCAATACCTTATACTCCAAAAGCACACTTCCATAATGACATGTGCTTGATTCCTATGAAAACAATTCATATTTAAATGCTTAGGTAACATGTAGAGTATGGACCTTCATTCATTTATGCCTCACAAAAATTGCAGATATGTAAGAATATTTTTTTTTGTTACTCTGTGGAAGTCAAATCATTCTGTGTCATCTCAAAGAGTGTAATTATATTTCTATGAAAAATATCTTTCAAAAAGAGCCGCAAACCTACAAACAACAAAGTAATGGCTAAATTTTTCTTTTCTTGGAATGACAATGCACTTCTTAGCACTTGTTTGGCAATGTGCAGGAGGGTGAAACACATTTCTAGGTAGAAACACATTTCTAGGTAGAGTTTTGCTTTGATGTTCTACAATGGTCACAATGGGAAATGTTGAATTTTGCTGCCTTACATTAGTTTTCTTCAAAGTAAAAATAAAAAGAGGAGACAGAAATTTCTGAGGCAAAACCAAACTGAAAGACAAAATGCTGCTTTAGACTTTTAGCAAGAGATGGAAATCTGGTCCAAGAGAACTGAACTTTAAATTACATCAAAAATATCCAAAAGAGAATTAAATAGTTTTCTCATTCAGATTTTATTTGAAACTTGCACTGAAAGCATACATGTTTTCTTGGATTAGTGTTAGTTTTGAAAGTATCCTAGTCCTATGCTCTTTGATGTGACTTTTCTGAGAGATGAGTGTCTGATTTTTCATGCTTCTCAGGAATCTACAGTCAAACAGGACTTTATCATCACACAAGGCTTTATGTCCTAGCAGTCATGTGTGTGAATATTTCTGTTCACTGTGGCAATGTCAGAAGGATCTCACAGATGCCTCTTGAAGTGTTAAAGCTGCTGAAAAGCAGAGCTGCTCCTGGACTGTCATGGACAAGCCAGCTGGGTGTCCTCTTTTTGTTGTGCTCAGCCCCCCTCTCTGTGCACTCAGACCTCGACACTGAATTTTGCTGCCTCCTCCTAAGGGTGGGGTCTGTCAGAGCAACTCTGGCACCTTTAAGCAACCAAACAGCCAACAGATGTGGGGTGAGTTGCAGACAAGGAATAAGAAACCTACTGGAGACAGATGAAATTCCCTAAATTTCTCTTCCTCAGAGACAAAGGAGGAGCGTGCAAGTGTTTTCCAGACTAATAGAAAAACTCGGCTTTTACAACAGAAGATGTGGAGAATAGAAAAAAGGTAGTAAAATGCCATCTCCTGAACAGTAAGAAAGCAGCATGGAAAATAAGATGAATTATTTATTTCTGTATTTAAGCACTTGCAAGGAATGCAGACAAAAGCAGTGTGAGGCCATTTAAACTGAAGGATTCTCATATGAGGAAAGGCATCACAATCATGTCCAGAGGAAAAATTATTAAGAACAACTTGTAAATGGTACATAGTAGAATAATGAATGAAACAAAAAGCTGTTTCTTTGAAAATAGATTGATAATGACTTTATTTCAGTCCAGAGTCCGACATAACTCATGCAAATGCTCAATTTAGATGGATGGGATAATTCATGTGGTGACCCTAGTGACTATTATGTAAATTTTAGTGGGATTGAGTCATACTAAATTTGCAAATCAAAGTACTGCTCAGAAATGTTATCTGATTTCCAGGTATTGAGTCTAAAAACTCCATTAATTGTTCAAAAGTAGGTGGTGAGTGTACATTTATCAGATGAAAAAGCTAAAATCTACAATCTATGAAGCTTAAAGAAAGCAGTCCAATTTTAGGAAAGTTATTACATGCCCATGGGAAGCAAATATTGTCTTGTTCTTATATACAGCCTATCCAAGGTCACTGCAGTAAAGGCTGCTGCAGATTCATAGTTTTAATTAAGCAGTAGCAAAATTTAGACACAGAGTCTAAATAACAGAACTTCGTGGTAATAAAAAGAGATACCTTATTTATTTTCCTGAGAACATAAAGCCCCATGATTTTATATGTCTCCTACTTAGGAAAATGTATTTTTGTAATATGGGCAATTATAAATAAATTTTATTCAGATCTTGCTTTACAGGGAACAAACTCATTGCAAAAGATCATAATAATAAAACCCCCTTTTTAAACTGAGTCCACTTAAGTAAAAACAATTTTTTTCACTGAGAGGAAACAAACTCAGTTGCCATGCAGCTGGTTAGAGTGCATTTTTAATACAAACACTTCAAGCTGCTTGTAGGAAAATGAACATTGAAGATAATATCACCTCCCCCACCTGCATGAGAAATTTTTCCCTATACTGAGATACCCAGAGGGCTGGGGAAAGGGGATGCCCAGGTGCTTGGGTGCTCAGTAGCAAAGTTCAGCCTGAGCATTGGTCCTCTGTGAAATCTATAATGAGTTCACAAGACTGGACCATCAACAGATTGGTTTTTCTAAATGTAATTGGAGTTTTGTGGTTTTGCTTGGGTCTTTTTCCAGCTCTGAGTTTGTGCAAAGATGTGTGTGGTTCCCTGTGTGATTTAAGTGACAGGGGTGATTTACAATGGTATGGGATAGGGAAATGCTGCTATGTGGGTGGTGAGGAAGATTGCACTGGCCGAGTGCCCTGCATGGCAGCTCCCATAGGATCCTGAAGAAGCTGCTCAGGGCCTTTGCCACAGAAGTGTGGAAGGATCTGCAAGTGGGGTGCACCATGGGGACTGGGGAGGGCTGGTGAACCATTCACCATTATCCCAGAAATAAATGGCTGTCCAGATGTGTCATGTGTGAGTCCTGCTGGGACAATGGGGTGCCACTGGTGTGCCAAGGTAGGACAGCAGGGAAATACACTGGAAGGGGATTAAGAGGTACAGGGACAGGGCTGCTGGTGTGATCTGAGAGGCTGGCCCAGGTGATGTGGCAGGCAGTATCCCAGCCATCCATTCCCCTCTTCTCTGGCTATAATTTTGTAAATGGCTCCATATGAAACCCAGATATAATTACATAGAGTGACAATGGTGTTTTCTCATTGGAAAAGTGCCTGTGTTTTCATTTTAGCTGGGGTCCTTGCTCTGTAATTGCTTGTAAACACTCTATTGGTTATAAGAGCCAGATGGTGCCGTAGATGGCTTTTAGTGACTCCTGAAAAATAGATAAGACTCTGACTAGACACTATTTACATTTTTTTTTCTGTTTGGAGCACATAGATTACAGCTTGCTTTAAACTGAGGGTCAAGATGAAACCTCACAACAGAGGCATGCAAACCTCTCGTAGTTAGCTTGGCACTGGCAGTGTGCAATTGCTGAGGCTGCAGTGCCCACCCAAAACACGTGTGCTGTAAGGTGCACAGGAGCACAAGGTGCAGGCTCTTGCCAGGAAGTGTCCATCCACTTCACCATGCACAGGGCTTGTGGGGGACCTCTGTTTTCCTCTGTACAGGTGCCAGTGTGGCTTTGCAGAACATTGCCAGTGCTAGATGTATTCTGGTTTCGACAGGACCTGCATCTCCTGCCCTCCATCACTCCTTTCCCGCAAAGTCCCCCCTAGTCTTTGAGTTCTTCTTTCCCTACAAAAAAAATAGAGAATGGTCAGAATTCAAGGAGTCAAAAATAGTTAATCAGTTTAAGGACGGTGTTTATGTGTTCCCTCCCTTCTTAGGGGTAGTCAGAGTGACAGTAAAGGAGCAATACTCGGAAGGGAGGCAGAGGCTGTTGCTGAAGAAGCAGTAGATGAGGGGGTTGACGGCACTGTTCAGGGCTGGCAGGTTCTGAATAATCACAGATGCGTAGAAGCGCTCTTTGGTCTCAGGCAGTATGTTGAAGTTGTCCAGGATATCAAACAGAAAGTAAGGGCTCCAACAGAGAATAAATGCTGCAGACGAGACAGAGAGAGGAAGAGCTTGACACTGGATAGTTTAGCAATTTAGGGAAGTAATTACACACTCATGGAGCAACTGTCATAACACATAAATATTTGTTCATGCAAAAAAAACCCCTCTCCCCATTCAGGATCTTATTTAAGAGAATACTTATTAGATTGTGCTTTTATTTGTCTTTATTTTTATTTTAATGCCTATAAAATATATTACATGTGTTTCTCTAAGTGTTTAGAGTGCTCCCTCTAGACATATTGAGACACTTCTGAACACTACACAACACATAAAGGGTAAATAGGTAGCCAGTTAAAGCATCATCAGTTATAGTGAAGTGCTCTTTTAATGGTCCCCAGAGTGAGCAGCCAATCTAAATGTACACACAGCCAAAATGCTGCTCTGTGACAGCGCTGCCTGTCACAGCCACCTATTAAAATAAGGTTCTCAGACACCCAGGAGCAAGGAGTAACACCCTTTCACACTGCATTATGGCAAACCAACACGCCACTCGGCATGCTGGATGGAAACGCTGTGTATGTGGAGTGTGCAGGGAGATTCTCCCGGTTTCCTGTACTGCCATTTGAGAGATGAATTTGAGGAAGGGAAGAGAGGACTGTCTGCTCATAGCCTCTGCTTTGGTTCAGAGTGACAGGGAAAAAAGGTTAGCGGATCTAGCTTTATTTGCAGGCATAGGGAATAAATCTGTCTCACACAAATTTCTGTGCCATCTCTTCTCACAAAGGCCTTTGATTCAGGATTTGCATAGAAATGCTGGGACAGGTAGTTCACTCAACTAAGCTATAAGTACCTGGGTTGCAAACATACAGGTAATTGTGAAATCAGACACATGATGACATCCTGCCTCAGATGAGACAGCAGAGTAAACCTGTGCCTGTTCCCTTGTCTCATTAATCAGAATTTCTTCGCTGGCTGTCAGCTGAGTGCTCACTAAAAGTGCAAGGAAGAGGTAAGCTCCCTTCCTGTTTTTTAGAACAACCAAACAGGAGGTGTCTATGCATAGATACATGCAAAATAGCAATACACAGTGCCAGAGTGTGGATCATAGCACTCACTATGCAGAACTTTAGGTGGCTTTAAAAATATCTATGGATTTTAGCTGTCAATCTGTTTGCACATCAAGAGATGCTGGGTGCTTAATATTATCAAGGTCTGTTGAAATATTTGAGCATCTATGTGAGTTCTCAACATCTGATGGCCTTGCAGTAGTAGTTGTGTCTGCCAAAAGCTTTCTCTGATTGCCACGCAGAAAAGTTCAGATGCAGAGAAGCTGTTCTTGGGCTTATGGAAAATATGAATCCCACTGGCCTCTCTCATGTCTGCAGATGCTGCCTCTAGACAGTGAGCTAAGCTACTCAAGTGGTTGTTATCACAATATTCTCCAATCTGAATTTTGCACATTGTTGGAAAGAGAAGCAATCTCTTTTTCAGTGTCAAGGGATGACTGTCAGCCCTTGGGAGTAAACAGCTTTAGTTCCTTTCCTGCATGTCTCTGGCAGCTAATCATAAACTCTGTGTGATGCTGCCTTTATTTATTGAGATAGAATATCAGCCTCCTAATTGCATCAGAACAATGTAATTTCCCTGGGAGACAGAGAACACCTGCACTAAGTCATCTGCTGTCCAGTTGGGAAAGGAGAACTCATTCTTTCCATCTTGGCAGCAACACACCTGTGACATTAAATACAATTGCTGCACATCTCACCTTTCTTCTCTCCCTTGCACCACCCCAGCAGCTCACAGGCCATACAGTGTCTCTAAGCCTAAAAGACAACTCAATTGCCAAATCTTTTGGCAGTCTGGATAGGAAAGAGATGTCCTCTTCCTTTGTTCCTTTTAGACATTGTCTCTTCGCTTTCTTTATGTACACGAGGGGCTGTGCATCTAATTTAATTCAAGGGTTATGTCAGATACCTAAAATAGAAATGTATCAGCCAGAAAAGAGGGGAAGGACAGGATCAGAAGACAAGTCAGGTGTCTGAGTAAAGCTCCTTCTCCAAGCCATCTACTTTGTCTGCTGATGATAGAGGTTGCTGAGGAAAAACAGCTTCCAGGTGTCAGCATCCTCCCTAGCTCCCAGCTCTGGAGCTCTTCACTTACCAAGGATAATTACAATGCTGTACTTGATCGCCTTCACCTTGGCCCTGGATATGAACCCACGGCTGCTGTAGCCACGGGAGGTTTTGCCACCTGGGAAAAGAACAGTTCAGCTGGTGAAAGAACAGGACTGATGTGTGGATGTGTCAGGGTGTACCTTGACAGGCAGGACAGGAATACACAATCTCATCTTTCCCTGGTGTCACTTAGGACCTCAGTAGTTCCTGAAAATTGGACACTTGAAAATCTGCTCAAGTTGGACAATCAAAACCTGAGCCACCCAAAATAAAAAAGGAAAAAGTAAGCAGAGTAGATCCCCAAAGAGATCTACTTGAGGCATGTGTAGTCTTGGGATGGAATGCTCCAATCATTTTCTAGCTTTCTGTGGCCAGGAATTTCTGATCTTGAGCAAAATTTAGATTTGCAAGTACATGTGAAGACACAGAAAAAGTGTTGCCAAGTATATGCTAGAAAAAAACTATTCTGGAAATGGACAAAGTTCTAGGAATAGGAACTCTAACTTCTAGAACAAGTAGTTTTTATTTTTTATTCATTTTCTCACAGATGTTTCCTATTATGCCTCTAAAGAGAATTTAGTGTCAAAGGGAAGAAATTAGTTATGAATGAACAAATACCCATTTGTTCACATTCCATACCCATTCAAAAATACCCCATTCCCACTGCAGCGATAGGGGCCCAACATGACATGTGCATGTCCAAGCACTCCCAGATTTGTGAGGATCAGCTGGAATTGAATCACAAAGCTGGAGTCACAGGTATGCTGAGACTCACCAGGACAGCTGGATAGGATGACAGCCTGAGCTTTGCTCTTCATCCAGATGGTTCGAATCACAATTGAGTATATGACACTGCAGAAGGGGAAAAGTTGCTGGTATTAGGCACAATAAATTTAACAGACATCCCAGCCATTTGTGCTCTAAGAATATATTTGTCCATGTGTAAGGAGTTCACAGAGGTGGTGGGACTGCATAGAAATAATAATAGTAAATGACAATAATAATAATAATAATAAATATTATATGACTCTCCTACAATACTTTTCTGTACTGAAAAGTGAAGACTTTTCACTATGGAAGTCCATGTGGTTGTCCTGGCTTTGTAGATGTCAAATCTGAGGCTCAGAGGAATGCAGTGATTCAGCCACAAATCTTTTTGCAAGAGCTCATTGGTGATTTTGAGTCACCCAATGCCAAATCCATCTGAGTATCAGCCCTGCAGCACTAGCTCTGATGAGGGAAGCAAGGGAGGGACCTGGTTTTGCTGTATGTATACTTCAATTTTGCTGTTACTTTTTGGATATGAAGCTGGTGAATAAAATTTCACCCTGGGGAATTAGATAAGGGCAAGGTCCATGAGAAATACAAATAAATACAGCAGTGCTCAGTTTTGGATCTCAGTGTCCTGAGGTAGAAATCAAGGAGAACTGAAGTGTCAGATAAATGGGAAGAGTTAGATGATTCAAAATCAGATCCACCACAAGTTGCATATTTAGAGAGGTTTATATACTCTCAATAGGAAAGATGAAAGATGTCTTAGTATACAGTGACCTTACATGATTATGGACTTTCCCTGTGCAATAGCCAATCTGGACTTCTACTAACTTAATATAGAATAGATAAAAACTATTCCTTCAAGAGGAAGAGCTGTTTAAACCACCTCCTGCTTGAGGATATTAATTGTCATAAACCTTAGCAGTCCTTATGTGAAATAGGTGCAACAAAGAACATAATTTCAGGGTGTTTTGTAGAGGCAAAAATGTGTCTTACTGTTATATGGCTTATTTTTGTTATCAGAAGAGGCATTATACTTATTAGTCCCTTCAGACTGATATATGAGCCTTTCCTACAGCACCCTCAATTTCTAGACACGGTTGCAAAGGCAGAATTTGTGCTCAAAAAACTATGAAGGTTTGGAGGTTTCCCTGTCTGTGGAAGTCTGAGCCATCTGGTTTCCAGGCTCAGTAGGTGAGAGCTGTAAATTCAAGGTGCAGTCTGGGCTGTGCAGCGGAGCAGCAGCGTCCCTGCCCAGTGAGGGGTTTGCTCACATCTGCCTACAGCTTGGACTACAGCTTGCTCTCCTTAATCCCTTCAAAAGTCCAGCTTGGCTCCCAGCTGATTTGAACATTTTCCTTTTATGTCCTGGCTTCTCAAGAACCTGTTTATTTAACAGCTCATGCACTTGAAACTCAAGAGTTTCTTTGTACTTTTTACAGACAATGGTGGAAAATTCATGTACGTTTCTCCTTTGATTGTTCCAATGAATCAGGATGTATTATAATGATAATTGTTGTCATCTCAGAAATTTTACCAGCTCACTCTTAAAAGTCCTGTTTCTATTTTCTTCCTAGCCTGCTGTCTCTAGTCTGACCTCTTTATTTGCAGCTGAGACAATGTCCTTTCAAATGCAGATTTTCCTTTGTCCAGCAGGAAAGATTCAGAGTTTCTTAAGCATCAGGACAAAGGAGTCTAACTCTGTAGCCAAAATATCCTTACTTTCAGCCAAATGCCACAAGGACTAAATTATGAAGCCAGGCTCCTCACTTGCTTTGCCTTGACCCCAGAATTTCTGCCCTCTTGGCTGCAGTCTGGTAGGGGCATGTCTTTTGCCAGATACAGTTACATCATCTGTCTTCTCACTGGCATTTCACCTATGAGATAACATGCTGATTCATTTGAATCCTTAATTTTTAGAGGATTCATTTGAATCCTTAATTTTTAGAGCTCTAGAGGAAAGCTGAATTCTTGCTTTCATCCAGCAGCTTAACAAAGTGCTGCCAACATAGTGGATCTGTGTCGGTGTTTTTGCTTCTGTTCATCTTTCCTTTCTCTGTAGCTGAAGCCAATGGAGCCTTCCTTATCAAGAGTGGACCAGAGGTGGTGTAAAGCTGCTCAGGATGGGTGTCAGGAAAGTTTATAAGATAGGTAGACTTCTGAGCAGCTCTTGTGCCAGCCACAGTTATTCATTTATAATTTGATCTCTCTGGGACTCCAATTCATAGTAGTGCCTGACCCTTTTCTTTATTTTTTTCCCCAGCAATGTTGACATGGAGCTGAGAAATTGGACTTTCCAGAAACGAGTTACCCAAAGCATAGGATCATAACAGGCAACTGCATGTGTGTTTCAAAGCCACAGAAGTAAAAAGAGGGCTCTTATGGAAGAGAAGTATTTTTCTTAGGAGGGAAAATCAGCTTTTTTCAGAATACATTTGTAGCCCCTTTCTTTCATGTAAAAGGCAGCTGGAGAGGTTGGTCAAATCTCAAAGAAATTCTCGCTTGAAAAATGAAGTGGCAGATGAGCAAAGAGTAGCAGGGAACAGATGACAAACTGATATTCAGAGGAGTGTTTGGAAATAGTCTGCACTATTCCAACCATATCCTGATTTCTGCTCCCTTCCTCTGGACTCTGAACTGCTCAGCCCTCAGTGCCAAGATGTAAAAGCCTGTGGTACACACTGCCACAAAGCTCTTTTTTTAACTCATGCAACAGGCCTGCATGCTGCTGGCCCTTGTCTCCCCCGAAAGCACAGGGAGGTGTGATGTGCAGCTCTCGAGGCCCAGGTGTTGTCAGGGTTCTTTGTGTCTGTAAGTGCACAGCACACTGATCTTCCAGCCCAGGCTGCAGGTGAGAGACTAATGAAAAGGTACTAAGGTGGAAAAGTCAAGCCTGGATGGAAAATTCATCCAAGCCATTCTGAAAAGTAGCTGGTCAGGCTTTGAAGACCACAGGATAGAAAGGACACGCTGTTGATCTGAAAATGTGATGATTTTTCTAACCCTGATAAAATACATACCTCAAGAGGTGGGAGAAAAATACAAAAATATGGCTCACATTATGGGGGTATCTCAGAAATTAAATTCTTTGCATCTCCAAAAACTTGATCCAAATTTTAAAAGATTAAGAGGCGTGTCCATCATAGCCTGCTATTAGTTAATGGTGTTGTTCAATATGCCTCTTTGGTAATTACAGCACTTTTTATCCATGTAAATATGTAACTTAGGGTTAGTCATACAAATGCAACTGTGAATAATCTCACCCCATCTGTATTTTTAATTCATAGACCAGTTTGTTAGTTTGTTTTTTTTTAATAAAATGTCTTCTGGTAAAGCTATGAACTGATATTAACAATCATAAGTGTTATTGATCTGCCCACTCTTTAAAAGTAGAATTTTTGGAAACAAAATCTACATTTTATTTATTAGAAATGAAATCTATGCCCACTATGAGGGTGTCCCACACAGCCTCAGTATTTTCTAGTAAAATGAGCCTTTACCATGGTAAAAGTGCACTTAAGTTCCCTGTTGATTACTTCTATTTATCATCCAGTATTGCCTATTGTTCCCTATACTTTATTTGTGCAAAGTGATGTGGCTGCTTTGTTTTATGGCAGCTAATTTACAGCGCTATTTGTCTGAAGAGAAAAGTAACCTCATCTGAACAAACCATTGCAGACACATGTAATGAGTAAGTGAAGAGATGGTCAGATACTAGAACGTGTGTGCAAGATCCAGGGTTTTTATTTAGAAATGGAAATTGCAAGCAAAAGAGAATAGCCTCTCTGAATCAAGTTCAAAAAATGACCTTTGGTATTTTTATTAATGGCATTTCCAATCCTTTTATTTGATTTAATTCAGAGAAATACCTTTTATTTAATCTATTTTTTATTTCATTACAATGCCTTGGGTTTAATTCCATATTTTTCCTTTTAGCTGATTTTGGTTTTTTTCTCTTCTAATTATTTTTCAGCTGCTCCAAAGCAAATGTTCTCTTTGGAGTTCAGATTTTAAACAGCAGATGGATATCTTTTTCCTCCGTGCTTCAAGAGAAGTTATAGCATTTTTTTTTTTAAACATGAGTTTGCAATTATATTAGGTAAATGTCTACGTATCATATTTATAATTTTAAAATATAAAAATACATTTAACAGTCATGAATAACAGCTAGAAAACTCTGAATTTCTGGATACTCGAGTGCCAGAACATAATTATGTTTTGGCAGAGTGGCAATGCAGACTAGAAACACAGTAGCTCTTCTGTTTCCCCATCACAGGTTCCGAGGGGCCCAGGTGCAAATATTTGCCGGAGAGCAGTGTGTAATCTTGATTTGAGCCATATTTAACCTCTGTTCAACAGTGTCCCAGAGGTTTTCAACAATCACAGATACCATTTCAGCTTTGCTTGGTGTGTTTCGGAATAGGAGAAAAGGCTTTGGTTATAGCTGATGACACTTGTCCCAGAAGAGGAGAGAGCTAATTACTGCAGGTTCCCTAATTACTTTTTTTGAATCTTCTGTGGTTTCATAGGTTGATAATATCAACTGCAGAAGAAGTGGTAGAATAATGTAAATAAGAGGGAACAGGCCAAATTTTTAAGCACTGTATAGAAATGCCTGACTCAGGATCTGTTGTTCTTCTTGCACAACATTGAGACAGTGAGGACAAAGGAAGTTTTAATATCAAAAGAACAAATATTCTCCACTTTTTTCAGCTCTCAAAGATATCCACACACCAGGGTTAAAAATACCAATCATAGCTTTTCATTTTCTTTTCATTATTCAGGTCTTGCTCATTGGTATTTTAATCAGATAAAAAAACTTGCTGAAAAACCACAAGCTTTTTGATAACTGATTGCTGATTCTCTAGTTGTGAAGAAGTGGTAGGAATAAACCTCAGAAGTATTAAGGTCTTTCAGGTTGTTGCAGTTTTCTCCATAAATTACCTTTCTATACATACATTTTTAAAAAAGCAGGGGGTGAGGGGGAGAGAGTGCTGCTGCGTTCTTCTGGTTCATGTTATGGCTTGGAATCTGTAGAGTTTGCTCACACCACATCTGGGGCTTTAGCTTGTCAGTGGAAAGGTTTTCCATGGTGAGCATAAGGTTATCAGCTAAATAATTCATTCCATGGGCTGCAGAGTTATGAATAACACAACTCCTGTGAGTTAGTTGAAGGCTGTCAGGAACACGTGAGATCAGCTCTACAGAGAGAGCTGAGAGCTGGATGAGAGAAGCTTAAAAGATGATGGTGTCTGAACTGTAACAAGTGAAAACAGCTCAGCCAAAGCAGCATATCTAGTGTGGAATTAAGTCCTGCACCTGAAAAGTAAGATTTTATCCTTTGTATGCACTTCAGATGAACAGCACCAGAAAAAGTGCTGTCATCAGTGAACTGCTTTGCTCTAGAGGTTAGGTTTTCAGCAGATTCAGGCAGCAGAACTAATTAAGAATTAACTCTGGCAGCCAGTGTCCCACATTGCATCAGACACCTGCCATGCAGCTAAATCAGTGCTTCAGCAGAGAAAATAAAGTAGCTGTGCAAACAATATGAATTCTTGCAGAAAAGGTTTAATTTTTTCCTTTGTGTGCACCCTGCCTTGCTGCCTCACTAAGTGTGGTGTATGACTTAGCTTCTGGCTTATATGTATTCATGGCTTCTTCTACTGATCCTTGACCTTTCAGTCACGCATTTATGGATCTTCTCTCCATTTTATGTTGTGGCTTTTTTAAGTAACATCTTCGACTAAAGGTCATCAAATTAAAAAAAAAAAAAAAGCCTTCCTAAATTTATTAAACACCTTTCATTTTATAAATAATCTCTTGTCAGAGTAACACACAACTGGAACATATGCGATTCTCTCTCACTCTTATGAAATAACATCTCATTTATCATCAAACCTCCTGTGCATCTGAAAGTATTGGATGGAATAAAACTTTTACAGAGAAACTGAGTCCCAGGGGGTATTAGCAGCCATTCCTGCTGTTCTTGAGCCACAAATTGCTTACCAGAGTATTTGTATGCTGCAGCCACATCAGGTGGATTAGCTTTAAACTCCTGGACTGCCAATGATTTTTAAAGGAATAGATGTCACACCTTCAGGCTAGGTTGCCAGATGTTTTACAGATACATCGGCTGGAAAGCTGCAACCTTCACTTTTATGCTTGAGACTTTAAAAAGTGTTCTAAAAAATAGCCATTTCCTTCCAAATTGCATGGCATTTTTTCATAATGTCTCTGCTGACCTTGCCCTGTAGCTAATCCTCTTTTTCTGTGGTTTTAGACAATCCTCTCTGTTCTGAAGAAAATAGTATCACTGACAGCTAGAAATAAAAAAACTCAAAATAAATCCTTCCCTGCACCACTCCCCTTCCTTCCTTCCACTGCCAGACACCACTTTGGACCTGTCAAAAATCTTTTTTCTGCTGGCAAGGACGCAGGAGCATTTGTGTTAAAAAACACTGAAACCAGGAATGTTTCCGGGCAGGTGATGGACACTGCGCTGCCCCTGGCTCCAAAACCAGTGGTTTTAGCTCCTGTCCTGCCATAAACTTCTTGTGTGAATGTTGCTTAAGGTTAAAGCCACAAAAAATTTAGGATGTTTTATTCATGTGTCAGATGTCAGGACAATCTCATGAAATGCCAGTTTCACTGCCTTTCTCCGTCCCCTCATGTCTTCATCACCTTCTTGCTTCTGGGGATTTACTGTAAAGCAAGTCACAGAGCTGATCTGGTTTGAATATCTTTCATTGGCAGGGAGGAGGGGAGCATAATGTCAGCAGCTCTGAAATATTTATTGCTCTGTAGCTTGCCTTTTCTTGCCAAACAAGTATAGATGGCGTGTAAAAGGAGTGGCTGGTCTGTAACAGAAACCATGCAAATCTATCTGTATGTTAGAGTGTGAAAGAGATGTTTCACACACCTGTGGAATGACTGGTAACTGGGCAGGCTGTGGGGTCTTTTTCCTGAAACACTTAAGATGCTGGCTAGAATTTCCCAACAGCTGCCCAATTGAGAAAGCTCATAAAAGCCCTTTCACAGTAACAGCCAGCCTCAAAATTTTCTGGTGCCATTTCTTCTCATGTTAAATTGCTTTATGTCTGTGCAGTGTATGTTTATTGTTTTTGCTGCTACTGCTGAGCTGCAGATCTACACACATTTTTATTTACATATTCACAAGAATATTTTTTCTGCATATTGAAAACTTGGCTGGCTTTCAGAGACAGGAAAACATGCAGAGAAATTATCCCACCTAGGAAGGATAACTTGGGAGTAGTTTTTCCTTTCTTCTCAAACTTTTCTTTAAGGAGAACTTTCTTGATTTTTTTTTTGTTATATCTATGCAATCTGGCACAAAAAGTGGAAGGTTTAGTGAACTGACATGTTATGAGCAATGTGTAAAAATCATCCCTTCTCTCTACACTGGTCCATTTTGAATCTGTATCCAAAAGTCAGCTAGATGAGTTCAAGCACCACATGGTTTTGATTCTATCAAAGATAAACTAGTTACCACTAAAAGCTGCCAAACTTATCTCTGTGATAAAACAGTAATAAACTTCAAGGTTATGTAGTCACTCCTGTCATCATCTAGAAGAGATCAGTCTCTGCCCACCCCACTCTCACCCAGGGCACTAATGAACAGGAAGCTAAGGGAGACTCATGGCTCATCACTCATTGGAAAAGCAGCTGGAAAAAGAGATAAATCCAAGAGACATTGCAAAAATAGTTCTTCTCTCAGAGTCCAAGCAGCACCAAATTATGGGGGGAAAAAAGGAGTCCCAGCAAGTCTTTCTTGCTGCTGACAAGAAGAGATGGACACCAAGAAATACAATTGTAAACTTGCAAGTAAAAGAAAGAACAGTAATGGCTCTGAGAACTGTCACTGACACTGGCAGCATTTTGAGGCAGTTAGGAAACCTCGCTCCCCTTCCACATCTGATTTTGACTGCTCTTGCGCATTGGTGGCTCCTCATGGCCAGTTACCTTCTGTTCCACAGCAGCTAATGGCAGTGCTCTAGAGGGAGGCTGATCACTAAGTCTGCGATATTGATTGACCTCAGTTTTATACAGTTTCTGCAGATTGTCTTTGTGATTTGAGGCAAATCAGTCTCAAATATCTGCTTAGGTTTCCTAGCTTAGGTTTCCTATTACAAAACAGGAAGAAGTACATTTGTTCATACTTTAGGAGTAATTGGCAAGTACTTTGAGCACTTGGAGATTTCTTTCCAATCCTGGTGAAGGAATCCTTGTCGAGTATTGTGAAGCTTGAGAGCACTTCAAGTTAATTTTAGTTTAATTAGTGTTAAGTGCAGTTTCCTGTTCTTTTATTAAAATTATCTTTTGTAATAATGGATAAATATTCATACTGGGTTTATAAAGATACCTTTCAAGCCTGAAGCTGTGGAGATAAGTGGACACACTTAGAGATTCGTTCCTTTTTTCAGAGAAAATGTTTCTGGCTATTAATACCACACAGAGAACACCCAGGGCAAGTACAATGACCCCTGTATTATGTGATAAAAACCAAAACAGCTATGCAGCAGGTATGGAAATGAAATTGTAAAGAATGACTAGAAATTAAAGTATTAAGCTGATTGCACACTTGACAGCATTCACCACACATTTGCTGACTGGGCTTTGGACTTACCTGATTATGATCAGAGGAATGAAATACACCAGGAAAGCCACAATTGTCATGTAGGGGATCCAGTAGGAGTCATCAGGCCAGAGAGCCCAGCACTGCACTTCCCCATTGGAGAGCTGCCGTTTCCCAAAAATAATCAGAGTGGGTATGGAAAACAGGAAGGAGAGGCTCCAGGCCACTCCAATGAGCACTTTTGCCTGCCTTTCTGTGTAACAGAGTCAAACAGACAGTGTCAGTGGGGTTGTTGGTGAGAGTGAATCCTTGCAGCACTATTGACAGAAAGGCAGGGAGGAGGAGGAAATTCTGTGAAGAAAGGGAATTTTAGCCTGCAGCTGGCTGGTGCTGAAAAGACTTCAAAGGAGAAAAAGGATTTCATCTCTTTCTCATGATAAATTGTCATGCCATTAAGAGCTTGTATTTTGCAAGTTTTATTTAAGGATGCTTAGGGCCTGTTGAATCTGAAACACTCTGAGAAAGGCACTGGTCAGGGTCAGCAAGTCAGAAACATGAAATGCAAATGGTAGCTCTATGCCACCGAGAGAACATCACTTATGGGTGTGAAGGACCTCAGACCTGCCCTACTGCATGCCTAGTGATGCACCTTGAAGTGAGAAAGACTGCAAAACATTTCCTAGGAGGAAAAAGAAAATGCCTCAGCTCAGGATCAGAACAAGACTGCCTTTAACTCCATCTGTAACTTTACTCACCCAAAGAAACATGGGCCTGAAGAGCCTGGGCATCTCCTGCCCTGCTCTGTATGAAGGTGGGGATCAAATTTAGCTCCTGCTGATGAACCCAAGCCATGCCAGGAGTGGACTGCTACCCACAAGACAGGGCAGATGACGATGCTCAAGTGCCCAGCCCCATTTTATCTGCTGCAAAATACAGGAACTGGGAGATCCTGCTGGACTTCATGGTGAAGAACGGGAGCTAAAGGACATCAAAACCTCCAGCATGTTTGGGTTACTGCATCCTCTTGATTTCTGGCCACTGCCAAGTGAGGAAAAGCAAGTGGGAAATGAGATGATGTCTGGTGGCACCCACAAGATTTTGTAAATATCAATGGGTTGGAGCACAAAGTTCCAAAGCTTTAATTTTCAAAAACCTGCATCTTCTGGCTAAAATCCAGTTGCTCTAGCTGAAAAGTGTGGGGGAAAAGGGCTTATCTGTGGAGCACCCATGATTATCAGTGACACTTATTCCTCCTCAGCCAGACTGCAAGAGGAACATATGGGGACAGATTTTTTTTTTTAATCTGGGAGCTTTAGTGTTCAAATACTTTATTGTCCTAAAAAATACCCGAGGTTGTGTGTGAAATAGAAAACCACTTTAAATTATGCATATCAAGAATAATGTCTTTCCTCCTTGAAGCTCAAAGAGCAATACAAAAGCATGTGGGTGAAACATTCAAAAAGTAATTTTATGCTTTATAAAACATCAGTTGCAAATACTCAGTTATCCTGCTCATTTTTAAATGCTACCCACGTTCAGGAAAGCATGGTCTTGCTAATCTAAGGCTTAAGGGAACTCTGATGACATCTGCCTAAGTGAGAGGGTTAGATTAAGGCTATAAATATTGTACAGGCAAAAGAGAACTGTGAAATTTCCCAAAGCATAAGGGAATAAACTTAGCAAAAGGAATATTAAGAATAAATTTCACAAAATATTTCCTCACAGAAAGGACATTTCAAATGTGAGCTAACTACTTAAATTACAATCATGCAAGCCTCAGTGTTTTTCTAACTAAAAACGATCAGAGCTGGAAAAAAACCCCCTTTTTTTTGTACTGTATATTGAACAGAACTGGGTAATTTGGGTTGGGCAATAGAGATATTCCTTTGTGTTTCATAACATTTTTCCTGCAATGTTCCTTTATTTTTATTTTTATTTTTAAATGTCTCGCCTTTGGTAGAATTTGGCCTTCCTAGTCTAAAGGGCTTTACAGAGCACTGATAGGTAAGCAGATTTTTGTTTTGTTGAAATAATGTCAATTTTCTGCCTCACCAGCAGGGCTTTTTTTATGCTGCATTTTTAATAGCTGCTCTAATATGCTCAAAATGCCAGAAAATCTCATAACTAGAGCTGTATCAGTTATAAATGAAATCAAACAAATAACTTTTGAAATACAATATTCTATTGAACCAGTCTGAGCATTTTCCTTTAGAGCTTTTCAAACTGTGGCGGCCAAGACTAACTCCCAGGGCTGGACTGGGAGCTGTGAACTCTGACTCTCCTAAAAGAAGTTTCCTTGTGACTGCTCCCTTTGCTCTGCTCCCACCACCCCTGCCCTGGGACAATGGGTTTGAGAGCATCTCTCTGCTCCCAGCAATACGGGACAGGGGGTCACCTCTTGGAAGGAACTTTGCTTTCTGCTATCCAGAATGTCAATACTATGCAATCCTTTGATAAATTGAGTGCCACCTTAAAATTAGGTTTTAAATCCAGAATCCCAGTGACAGCACTGTTTCCAGCCCAAAGCCCCACAGGGATCAGTTTACGCCTTTTTGGGTTTTGTCATTTTCTTCAGCAGTTCTTTTCTCACCTGTTGTTTAGTTTGCATGCTGTTTGCATATACCTTTCCAACATGATGAAGTATTCATAAAATATTTTCTGCTATAATTTCTCAGATTCTTTTCTTTTTGATCTTTATTTTACAATTTTTTCTTAATACCCTTTTGGTTGTAGAATTAGATGTCTCATAGTAAAAACTTTAGGATTGAAAGGCATATTTCTTTCCCATACTGCACTTTCTCTGGCCATTGATGTATTTGATATGTATGAAATATTCAGCTGTTAAAGTTTGTTTTCTTAAAAACCATGCAAAGAACAGCTCATTGCAAATACTTTATAACAGGACTTGAGGCTAGTAACTAAACCACAATTTTAAAAAATTGTTTGACATTTTCAAAGTGGAATGTTTGACTTTTTTTTTTTTTTTCTAAAATGATATTTCAAGGCTACACGGAAACATAATTTTTCAAATCAATAAGAAGAAAGAACTCTTTTGTTTCTTGATTGAAGGATTTTAGGGGGATGAGTGTTTCATTTTGCAAAGAAATTTGCCATAGGTTGACTCAGAACTATTCATGAAGTTCCTCTGTGTCATCACCAGTGACAAAGATTTGTAAATCTCTTTGTTCTCCATCTGTAGAATAGTTAAGAGGGCATTTCAAAAGCGTCCCACACAGCACCTCTTCAAGGAATACCTGGGTGCAAAAGGTGATTATTTTATGTCCATTCCAGAAAGTTGCTATGTTAAAAATATACCTCTCTAGAGCCTTATTTTGGATTTACAGCTCTCTTCTTTTTTCCTTTGAACATGGACTTTGTTTGTGCATCAGTGTGTAGCCAGACCTTGCAAGAGGCAGATGGGTTTTGTCAGTGTTCTCTCTGCTTGTGACCTTTTTCCCCTGACCAGAGCTGCACCCAGCTGATGATTTTGCTACCCGCAACTGGGGCAACATCTGCTTTTCTCCAGTTTAAAAAAAAATCAAACAAAAAAACCCTTTATGGTCTAGGTATAGGAAATGGGATTTTAAAAAGGCTTTTATGAAGATTTGAAGTGATTTTTCACGGGTTCTTTTTCAACTTCAAAGCGCTTTTCAAAGATTACCCATCAAATTCTTTACTATACCCAGGCAGTAATTTAACAAGCACTGCTTTTCCTGTGCCATGCATGAAGAAGAAATGCCAGCAGGTCTGTCCTGCTCTGCCAGCAGGTTTATGAGCCCCCACCCTGCCTGGTTGATGAGCCCTCCTGAAGGAGCTGAAGAGCAATGCCACCTCTTCCAAAGCCCGCTGGAAAAACCTTGATATCCATCTCCCTGTGCTGAAAGAGTTGATCTACACACTGGGGAATATAAAGCTAAATTTCACACAAGTTTTTGAAGCTTTCAGACCTTAACATCTGCCAAAACTGCATACTGTCAGAGCTGTGATTGACTCACAGGTTTTTAAGGCGAGGAAGGACCATTAATCTGATCCCCTGAATGGAGCCGTCTGGCAAAAGGCATCAGTGCTCCAAAACAAGAATGATATTTGCATCTGATTAAAGCACATCCTCCAGACCTCATGGCTCTTGTAACTGTTCTTCTTCCTCCCCACCTGCAATTTCTGTTTCTTCACTCAGTGCAACATTCTTAGCACCCCACTTTGGCTCTGTGGGGAAGAAATAATTTTGTTTAAACTGTACTGCTAAGAGGCCAGGATATATCCGAGTGCTGTAAAAAAAAATGACACCAAACAAACAGAGGAAATGATAAGAAACAATAGATATCCAAACTTATATGCTATGTCTTTTGAAGATACATCAAATTATTGTGTGAATTCTCAGTACACCCTCCATAAAAGTTATTTTTTAATGTGAATAAATAGACATTATAGATGTTGCAGCTCCTACAGTCAGTATAGTGGAACAAGGGATAGCTTTTGTCCATTAAAACCTTCTAAAAATGCTGGAATATAATGAAAACCATTATACTTTTTAAAATGTCATTTCATTCTTTGCCAACACAATACTTGTAAAAACTGCTGAGGGCTAAGTGGAGTTTAATAAATCTTGAAACCACAGCTACTTCGTCCTTTGGAAAACTGTAACAGAGTTCAAATGCAGCTAGTGCAGGAATGAATAATTCATAGCAACAAGGTTTAGAATTTTGAGAACTAAAAAATTACCCAATAATGTCTACAGCAAGAACAAGGTACTGAAATTCTCCTACCTCCTTGCAAGAACTTCATGGGGTAAACTATGGCATGGTACCGGTCTATGCTTAGTGACACGAGGACGTAAGTTGAGGCATAGAGAAGAACCACCTGGGGCAGAAAGCATAACAGGACAACAGTTGAGACACATCTATTGCAGAAGGTGATGTCAGTGTGAACTCTGAACTAGGAATGTTTCAAAGCTTACTGGGGGGAAAAAAAAAAGAAAAGGAAACCCCTCCACCCCCTTGTATATTCACCCAGGTATTTTTCCTTTTTTCTGTCCACAAAATTTAAAATATTTAATATGCTCTAATGTGTTTGACCTTTAAATGAACATTTTCAACATTTAGCACTTTTGCTGCTAGAAAAGATTCTACACAGCATTTTTGTCAGAGTTTACTGCTATGGGGGCACAAAGCACGAGGTTTTTGTACCTGGAAGTAGCGAACGACCCTGCAAACGATATCAGGGGCCATAAAATCTCCAGTGTAGCGCCAAATGATGTCTGTCATGATGTTGATGAGTCCTGTGAATGAATCTACAAAGACATTAAGTGAAGAAGCATTGGAAGAAGCAAATACATGACTTCAGGAGAACCACTGAGGCAAGTAGGACCCTTGGGATGTGTCTGCTCCCCAGTCCTAGGGGCAGTCAAGCCATGACCCCTCAGCCCAGTATGCCAGAGGAGGTGGGAAAGCCTCAGAAAACACCCCATAATTACTGTCTAAGTGTGTCAGCTTGATTACTGCTGTGACAAATACTGAACCACTGAACCTCCTTTATTCTTTATCTGTTATTTCACTTTAAAAAGTCTCCTGCGAAATCACCTGGAGTGGCAACCAAATGCTGCTAAAGTTAGTGGAAATTCTGTCAGGAGTTAATTTGCAAACTTAATTAATTAATGACTAACCGTGCCTTGTCAGCTTGAAGTTAACCTACTTCTGCCTTTACTTTTATATTTGCCAAATAAAATACACCTCAGGCTATTTCTTCTTTTTTCTTCTTTTTTCTTCTTTTTTTTTTTCTCCTGCAAGAAAATCTAGAGAGAAATTCCAGCCTTTGTTCGGTTTCTTATTGAACACATGAGTGCTCAGAGAGATGCAAGTTTTACAAATGAATCACAAAAACTGGTACTCCTGTTTTACACACAGGTAATATTAAGTTTCGTCTTCAAAACCAGCTTCTCTCACATGGACAAGATAAATGTTTTCCGTGCAGTCCATGGAAGAAAATGTGTACCAGTCCAATGTCGTGCCACTTCAAGTAAGGTGTCGTTTTGCTGTTCTTGCACAGGTTACCACAAAGGGAGAAAACAGGTTAGGAAAACATTTCATGTAATTTTAAGGACAAAATCAAGAAATATGAAGAAAAAAGTTCAGTCTATATTAAAAAAATAAAGTGTTTCATTTTGCTACCACCATTTTACACATTCAAAAACCATCTCTAAAGTGTAGTGTGATAAAGATATTTTAACCCCCATATCAGAAGATTTTGATTTGAAATTTATGCCTCTGGAAACAAAGTATTTCAACAATTTTAAAAAACTGTTTTGGGAAATAAACAGTTTGCGTCAGTATTTCCAAGCAAATAGGCATATGTTTTGCAAAATAGGTTTCTTCTAAGCCCTTTGAAATTACAGAAATTCCAGATATTTCTAGTTGGAAATTGAGATTGCAGCTTAATGCTTCAGAAAAAGCAACCTGGTTTGCTTCACTGGAAAATCAGGGTTATTTTTTGTGTATCAGTAGTCCTTTATCTCCTCATTTTCTTCTTTCATTTATCTTCCTCTTCAAGTCTCAGTTCAAAATTAAATTAGTGTAACTACATTGCTTCCCTCCTTATGACTACTGTTCAATTAATACTGGTTTGCTCTTTATTCTCGCAGCGTTTCCCAGCCCCATTTTCTCTCTCTTCTCTCTTCCCCTGCCTCCAGAGAGAGGCTGGATCAGAGGCAATCTCCAGAAGGAAGTCTGTGGTTTGAAACGTTATGTTAAATATTGTTCATCGATTAGGGTGATGGGGCAAGGAATGATTGTTCCTCTGATGAGTACAGTGGCTTTAAGACTTTACTGAAAAGACTGTAGTATATAATTAAGGTGGTCTTTGAAAAAACCACACAGTTTAAGTGTTTCAGAAAGCGAAGTGCATCCTCCAGCAGTGGTTCCAACCGATCCCTTTCCCTTGCCTTACCCCTGAATTATTGATTCATAGTCTCTCTCTCTACAGTAATGAAATATATATTGGTTCAAAATATTGCACATCAATAGAGCTTCACCTCAGGGCATCCTTCGGCTTTTGATGGTCTGAGCATCTGCCAAGCAGGTGCTAAATCAGGGCTCGGCTTTGCTCGGGAGGGGGAGGGCGCGGAGGCTGCTCTCCCTTCTGCCAACCTCGGGGCTCTGATGAGGAGAGGGAGCGAGAAGGGACAGCACCTCGGCTGTCTCCTCAACTCCCTCTTCTCACGGCCATCTTCCTGTCTCTTTTCAGTGCATCGGAGAGTGCTTTAGAGGTGCGCCCTGCAGCTGTGCTGGGAGATGGGACAGCATCCTGGTGGTTTCCTTCAGGTAAGCAATTTGGCAGTCCCAGGCAACACACTTTCAGCTTGCACCTTTCAGCTTTTTTGCATCAGGAGTGTGATTTTTAATCTGTGGATGGCCCCCACTTCACTGGAGATGTGATGGAGATCCACAGGGAAATGAGCCTTTGTTTGGCTGATGCTCAGCCCAAAAATACTCTCCAGGGTTGCCCTCCATGCATCCCACTCGTGCAGCTACCAGGCAGTGCTCAGACTCAGGAACCATGGCAAAGTTTATGCAGCAGAAGCAGATGCCTCTCCAGAAATACAGAATGTGGATATCAGCTTTGTGTTTTTCATGCTACCGGTCTCTACCCACTGTGTGTCATTACCTACAAGTATATCTATAGCCTTAAGTACTTCAGGAGCTTAAAGATAACTCAGAATTGTCATTCCCTTGAGAGCCGTAGAGTGAGGTTTTTCAGGTGACTTTTAAAAGCAGAGGCTTTTAAATGAGGCTTAAACTTCACAGCTTTTTTTGTGCTGGCAGCCTCAGCTCCTCTCCCCCAGCAGTATGTTCTAAGAGCTCCTTGTTTTTCAGAATTTCAGAATCGTGGAGGGCTCGGCATGAGCCTCCAAGCACGTGCCCCTGAACACAACACACGTGTGTACCAAAGCCAATGCACCTGTGTGGGCCAAATTCAGTCAGATTTCTCAATGCCCTTTAATTATAGAAACATTCTCCCACTCAATGCCCTCATGCCCTCCTCAGGTTTCAGGAATATCTCTTGTCTTTTCAATCCTGAGAGTACCAGACTAACTGTTCTCAGAGGATCCTTCAGTCCTCTGCTGCCTGCTCCAGAGAGTGTTTCTTATCCCATCTCTGCAAAGGACCAGGCTCTCTCAGTATGAACACACATGTCTCGAGGGTTTGTCCTGCAGAATTTACACAGGGCCACCAAATAAATAATGTGCTTTGTGCTGGTGATCAGACAGCATAAAGGGAAAATGCAGCAAGCCTACAAATGATGACAAAGGATTGCTATATACTCTCCAGAGACACAAGTACCTAGTGCAAACCTTTATTAGTGATTTAGACACTAAATGTGCTGCTCATTAATCTGTTCTCTTATGCTCATCACACCTTCAATAACTAGACTTTATATTTTTCACACCGTCACAGCAGTTTTTCTTACAAGCCTCTTTTTGCACAAAGCCCTGACATGCCAGCACTATAAACCTGGTACAGAGATAATGAATTGCCAGCAGACCTTTTGCCACTGGTAGATGAATCCTTCTCACCCTTGTATCATCTCAGATGCAATTATATCTATGATTACAGCATCTTGAAATCCTCATTTACCATGTAATTTGAATTGCTGTGGTAGAGGTCAGTGCGTGGAAGTCAGCTGGTTTCAGCGATGATCTCAGCAGATCACACATTCCCTGGCTGCTTTTGGCAAGCTTGCACCTCAAACCGCATCACTGGATTGCATCATTGCCATCCTGAGTGGTTAATGTCAGGTACACAAAGCTGACATAGCCAATACTTTGCTCTAAACCTCAGTGTCCTCATTACTTTGAGTTGGCTCACCACTCCTTACAAAGCTGGTGGCTCAAGGGTTACATACTTGTGCTCTTTCACTGACAAATGCTCCTGGGCCAAACAGCACCAAGATAACTTCTGAAAACTGTCCTAAGCAATCTTGATTCACAGCTGTGTACAAGCTTGTCATTGCTACTGCCTTCTTAACAGTGTTCTAAGTTTTTTTACTAAGCAGCAGTGTGTTTACTGTGGTACTGTGTCAGCATTGCTAGGCAACAGTGGGGTTATAAGACCATTTTATTACTCAGAAAAATAGGCAGAAATTCAATTAATGAAATATATTCTCTTCTGATACAAAATAAAGATACCAGCAAGTGATAATTTGTGACTTTTAAGCCAAATGTATATTCAAAGAAGGATACAGATGAAACAATTCCTTGTTGAAGAGAGAACATGGCACTAGTGTAATAGGAATGGAAGAAGTTTGCTCTTGAGGGAGAGTGGATTTTCTACAAACAAATGTAAAAGAAAAAAATCCATAAAATTTCAATAATAAGGAAAAGGAGAGGGAGGTAGGGAGTAAAGATGGCTTTGCCTGGGCAGAGGGAGGGAAGAACAGCTTTGTGGGGTTTGTGCAACTGGACAGGTCTGCAAACCTTGATCTGCCTCCTCCTTGTTGCCGCCATGGCCACAGCCAGTCCTCAAAGGCAGAATTAGTGTCTGCCTTTACAAACCTGCCAGCATTTCAAAATGCAGCATTTTTAGACAGCATTTATCAAAAAGGCCAAGAAAATGCCTGAGAAGGAGAAGCACCCTGTTGTTCCCAGAGGAGACTGAAACATGCAGAATATAGAGCTGCAGCATCTGTCGTTGGGAAATATGTCAGGTATTGAAACAACCTGTGAAAATCCTGGGTCCTAAAGGCCAACATAACCCAGGTTCCCATCATTGTAGCAAAATGCCTTTGGATTTTTTTACAGGCACGAGTGAGTTCAGGCATTGCCTCTATAGTTTTGTGCTCAGGAACCACTTGGTTCAGGAGGTGATTGCAGTAGCTTGGGTAGTGGGTGCTGCCTCGTATGACTGATCTCAGAAATGTAAAAAAGAAATCACTGCCCTTGGAGGGAGGAATCTGAATGTCAGCTTGCTGTTGGTGTGAGTGAAACAGATTTTTTTGTCAAAAATCCCTCCACAGAGAAAGAAGTTCATTGTAGAAAGCTAATGGAGGTAATTAGCAATCTGGCTTGGGAATAGACAGGTTACAACTGTCTCAGATAATATGTTCATAGAAATTCATTGACTTGATGGTATTGCCACAGGGATGTACCTGTGCAGACTTGAGGATATTCCTTTCTTTGCAACTAAGGAGGTTCAGACAAAAATCTGTACTAGCAAGTCTACAGGAAAATATCTATATCATTTTATTATTACTACTGACACCACTCTTCCCTCAAGACACTCACCCTGAGGATGAAAG